TGGCCTAGGGGCTTCCTAAGGACCAGCGCAGCAGCAGCAGCAGCAGCAAGGACCAGATGTGCAGCTGCCTGATGACCACCACATCCACAGCACCACCCCGTGCAGATTGGGCCTAGCCAGCCGAGTGCTCCCTGGGTACTAGCTGTCCTCATTCTATCCGTGTGTGGCTCAGTGGACACCAAGAGGGATATCCAAAGAAGCCCAAGGAGAGAGACTGCGGTGCTGATTAGTGACATAGAATCCCTCCCTCTCTGCGCAGATTAACCACAAAGGCTCCCAGATGGGGAGAGCCTGGCAAGGGGCCAAGGGCAGGGCTGGTACCGATTCCGTCACCTGTAGATAGATCCTAAGGGGCAGGTGAGCCACGCAGATTCCATTTTGTTTCTAAGCTGGAAGTTGTCAAAAATGATATATTTCATATCTATGAATGTACATGGAATGTGGCAGGTTTCCACCTGCATCTCAGGCCTCAAGCGGCTGGACCACAGCTTTACATCTCCCAGATAGAGCCAGCAGGGCATGGGGTTTTCCGGGGACTCTTGGATGTAGCAGTACCCCAGGCGTTTGCGTTCACCTGGCACCCCACAGCGGTTACAGTCCTGCCAGGGCTCCCAGTGGGTGAAGATGAGCTGCTTGCTCCCCAGACTCAGGCTCTCATTCTGCAGGGGCTTTTGGTCCAAATCTTTGTGTGTAATATGTAGGCTGCCGACATCTTGGAAGTCAATTTCATATTGCACCACTTTCTTGCCATCCTTGTCGCTGCAGTGATAAAAGCCTGTATGGTAGGGTAGTGGATTTGTAATGAAAAGGCTGCCATTGGGCATTATTTCCATGTTGAGATTGGTAGTGGAATTGCTGACCCCAGTGGTCTTGAGTGGCAAGAAGAACCGCCACTGTGCCCCAGGGGCATTGCACTGCAGGATGATATCATTGTTTGAGAGCAGGGCCAGTTGACAATGCTTGCGATTAGGACAGCTGATAGAAAAGGACGACTCCTGGACCGGGAGAGCAAAGCAAAGCAACAGCCACAAGGTGGTCAGCATGGTGGACTGGGCCTGTGGAAGTGGGCCGGGCCCCACCCTAGACATTGTGAGGTCATCCACGGACCTCAGGCTTCAGCCCTAACGGCAGGAAGAACTGTAGTCCACCGCCGTGGGGTGTGAGGTCACAATTCCCACATTTGTCCTGTGACAAGTTAGCAATCCTATTTCATTTCTCTTCCAAGCCTTCCACTCTGCTGGGGTAGAAGGACACAACTTGTCTATTCAGCATTTTCTCTATCACCTCCCTATTTTGGTGTTAAACTGACACATATGAACATTCAACACATTTTTTTCTGAACACATGGGCTTTGTTCAGGGTATTCCCCGGTGGCTCAGGCAGTAAAGAATTTGCCTGTAATGCAAGAGACCTGGGTTCAGTCTCTGGGTTGGGAAGATCCCCTGGATAAGGGAATGGCAACCCACTCCAGTATTCTAGCCTGGAAAATCTCATAGACAGAGGAGCCTGGCAAGCTACAGTCCATGGGGTTGCAAAGAGTCAGACATGACTAAGTGACTAAGCTCACATGCCTACTAGTATGTTCTGGGCACACTTGCGAGTGCTGAGAATGGAGAGGTGAATAAATCCTCTCTGGTTCCCTTCTGACCTCCTACCCTTCCCCACCCAATTGCTCCAGCCATGCTGGCCTCCTGACTGTCCCCTGAATATACCAGGCAAGCAAAGGGCCCCTGCCTTAGGATCGTTGCACATGCTGGTCCTCCCACAGATATCTGCAAGACTCAACTCATTTTAAACAAATATATTTTTTTCTTGGTGGCCCCTTTCCCAGATTCTTTCCTAAACTCCTCAGCCAAAAATAAATAAATATTGAAAATCAAAATCACCAATAGAAACACAAAAATGCCCAAAACATGGCACTAAACAGACCATGAAGAGGAGCATACTTGCTAACACAGTCTGGGAACTGAAACCAGAAGGCAGAGTGTCACCTTGTGTGGCCTTGGCTGGGAATGTGCGTTGTTGGGTGACTCAATTTTCTTGCCACTCTGTGCATGTCTGCAAATGAATATGACTGTGGGTACCAACTTGGGGGTTACAAACAAATTTTAGTGAGTAGGTGAATTCATAAGTGTGGAATCCTTGAATGATGATAATCAGTTCAGTTCAGTTCAGTCGCTCAGTCATGTCCGACCGTTTGCAACCCCACGGACAACAGCACGCCGGGCTTCCCTGTCTATCACCAACTCCTAGAGCTTGCTCAAACTCATGTCCATTGAGTCAGTGATGCCCTCCAAACATCTTGTCCTCTGTTGTCCCCTTCTCCTGACTTCAATCTTTCCCAGCATCAGGGTCTTTTCTAATTAGTCAGCTCTTTGCATCAGGTGGCCAAAGTATTGGAGCCTCAACTTCAGCATCAGTCCTTCCAATGAATATTCAGGATTGATTTCCTTGCAGTCCAAGGGACTCTCAAGAGTCTTCTCCAACACCACAGCTCAAAAGCATCAATTCTTTGGTGCTCAGCCTTCCTTATGCTCCAACTGTCACATCCATACATGATTACTGGAAAAACCATATCTTTGACTAGAAGAATCTTTGTTGGCAAAGTAATGTCTTCGCTTTTTAATATGCTGTCTAGGTTGGTCATAGCTTTTCTTCCAAGGAGCAAGCATCTTTTTAATTTCATGGCCACAGTCACCATCTGCAGTGAGTTTGGAGCCCATGAAAATAAAGCCTTTCACTGTTTCCNTGGACTCTTTTGTTGACTATGAGGGCTACTCCATTTCTTCTACGGAATTCTTGCCCACAGTATGTAATGGTCATCTGAATTAAATTCGCCCATTCCAGCCCATTTTAGTTCACTAATTTCTAAAATATCAGTGTTCGCTCTTGCCATCTCCTGTTTGACCACTTCTAATTTACCTTGGTTCATGGACTTAACATTCCAGGTTTCTATGCAATATTGTTCTTACAGCATCAGATTTTACTTTTCACCACAAGCCACATCCACAACTAGGTATTGTTCCTGCTTTGGCTCAGCCGCTTCATCCTTCTGGAGCTATTTCTCTGCTCTTTTCCAGTAGTATATTGGGCACCTACTGACCTGGAGAGTTCATCTTTTAGTGTCATATCTTTTTGCCTTTTCATAGTGTTCATGGGGTTCTCAAGGCAAGAACGCGGAAGTGGTTTGCCATTCCCTTCTCCAATGGACCACATTGTGTCAGAACTTTCCACCATGACCCGTCCGTCTCGGGTGGCCCTATATGGCATGGCTCATAGTTCCATTGAGTTAGACAAACAAAACCTCGTGCATACCAGGACCAAGGGAAAGGGGCAGTGACCCCCACGAGAGACTGAGCCAGACCTGCCGTTGAGTGTTTGAGTGTCTCTTGCTGAGGCGTGGGTCAGCAGTGACCTGCCGCTGGGACAGGGGCTCTGGCTGCAGCAGACCTGGGAGGCATGGCGTGTGGCAGAAGTCCTCTTGGAGGAGGTTGCCAGTAGTGCCACTGTATAGCCACCAAGCAGACGGCCCACAAACTGGGGAACATTTCTATCAAAGAAGTTCTTACACTGTTGCAAAAGTTCTAGGTTCCACAACGTATTTCTCAACCTGGGGATCTGGAAAATGACTCAGAACCCCCAGGGAAGCAGACCCTTAGAGAGCACAGCAAAACCTCATGTGCACCAGGACCCAGGAGAAAGGAGCACTGACCCCAAAAGAGACTGAGCCAGACCTGCCTGTGAGTGTCCAGGAGTCTCCGGCAGAGGTGTGGGTTGACAGCGGCCTGCCACAGGGTCAGGGGCACTGACTACAACAGTCCTGGGAGCTGTGGCATGCTGGCATAAATCCTTTTGAAGAAGGTAGCTATTACTGCCATCACCCCTACCATAGTTTGGCCAGAGAAGGGAACATAGACCCACCCATCAGCAGAAAATTGGGTTAAAGATTTACTGAGCATGGCCCTGCCCACCAGAGCCAGACTCAGTTTTACCCACAGCCAGTCCCTCCCATCCCATGGGGTTGAAAAGAGTCAGACAGGACTGAGCGACCTTCACTCAGTCCTTCCCATCAGGAAGCTTTCACAAGCCTCTTATCCTCATCCATCAGAGGGCAGACAGAATGAAAACCACAATCACAGAAAACTAACCAAGCAATGCCGTATATAAATGCCAAATATATTTTTATATACAAGTAATTAGAAAATGAAATGTAAAAGATGCAACTTGCATGAACAAATCAAATACAAGGAACAGATATAATAAAATACATGTAAAACCTCTACATTAATAACTACTTGTTATTGGAAGAAATTAAAAAAAGCCTAAATAATGGAAGTGTTTACAATGTTCACGGATTGGAAGACTAAATATTGTAATATACTGATTTTATCTTTAGATTCAATGATGTGCCAATTTAAAAAAAAGGCGTTTTTTTGGTTGGAACCCCCAGGTTGTTTTCATTTTTTTTTTTATAAAAAGTAAAGAATAACCAAGACAACCTTGAAGAACAAAGCTGAAAAATCTATACTACTGATATTATGGGTTATTATAAAGGTATAATAATTAAGTTACTGTAGCATTGGTGCAAGGATGGATAGACAAATTGTATCAGTCAGAGTCTAGTGAGGAGATAGAAATCACAGTAAAGTCTATGTTGGCATGAGCATGGGCCAGAATGTCTTGGTTTCTAGGTTTTGTATTTGGTCTATCCATGAATAACAGGTGCCTATGAGGGCAGGGATTAGGTCTTTGTTGGTCACCACTGTGTCCCCAACATCACCTGCCTAGGATGTGGCTCAGAAGTCGCAGTTGGGGATTCTTGCTGAATGAACATCTGAACAAGCCAGTGAAGAGATCCCTTCCTGCACAGATTGACTTTGAAGGCTTATGCGCTGAAAGACAGACCCTGCTTTTCTATTGGAGTGTAACCCCTGGCCGAGGTGAACACAAGAAACAAAGCCTGGGCGGGGGTCAAAGGCAGGGCTGACGCCTGGGTCCAGTCACCTGTAGATGGACGCCAAGGGGCAGGTGAGCTCCATGTTGTTGGTTGACTGGCCCAACTTGGAAATGTCAAAGGTGAAGAACGGCTGGATGATCTCCTTGCTCTGGTTGCAGGGTACAAGGCAGGCTTCCACCTGCATCTCAGGCTGCAAGCGGCTGGACCACAGCCTCACATCTCCCAGATAGAGCCAGCAGGGCATTGGGCTTTCCAGGGACTCTTGGATGTAGCAGTACCCCAGGCGTTTGCGTTCACCTGGCACCCCACAGCGGTTACAGTCCTGCCAGGGCTCCCAGTGGGTGAAGATGATCTCCTGTCTACCCAGACTCAGGCTCTGATTCTGCAGAGGGTTTTGGCCTAGTCCTTTGTGGGTAATATGTAGCGTGGTGACATCTTGGAAATCTATCTCATATTCTACCACAAGGGCTGTGTTATTGTCCTCACAGCGATAGAGGCCTGTCTGGGAGGGCTGAGGTTTGTTCAGTTGGAGGCTGCCCCCAGGCAGTTTCTTTATGTTAGGCAGTGAGGAGACCAAAAAGGGATCTTCCCCCTGAAAGGAAGAGAAGTACCAGGATGCCTTGAGATGGTCACACTGCAGGACAACATCATTGCCCGAGAGCAGGGCCTGCTGGCAGAGACTCTTATAGGCACAGGTGACTAATAGCTGGGCACACAGAACAGGGAGAAAAAGGCTAAACAGCCACAAGGTTGTCAGCATGGCTATCTACATACAGACTACAGAAGGAAGCTGGGAACCACGGGGGCATTGTGAAGTCACACACAGAACTCAGGCATCATCCCTGGGCAGCGGAATGGACCCTGACCCACTGCACTTCCAGGACTCCAATTCAGTTCACGTCATCAAATACCTTAGAGTCAAAAACTAAAATGACCACAAAAGCTGGGCAGGAAACATGAGTGAACCTATGTCAGAACAAGTGAACTATAAAGTCAAATTATTTATCCTTCACCTACTCACTCAATAGACAATGATGGAATGGGTCAAAATGTATAAATGAGAAATCACTGGTTTCCTGTTTTGTAAATTGGGAGGGTTCCTTAATTAGCACCAAATCAGTTCCTTGAGGGGCTCCCCTGGTGGCTCAGCAGTAAAGAATCTGTCTGAAATGCAGGAGACATGGGTTTGATCCCTGGGTGGGGAAGATCCCCTGGAGGAGGACATGGCAACCCACTCCAGTATTCTTGCCTGAAGAATCCCATGGACAGAGGAGCCTGGCGGGCTACAGTCCAAGGGGTTGCAAAGTCGGACATGACTGAAGCGACTGAGCATGCACCCACAGCTCCTTGAGGGTGGGGAACTTCCCAAATCTTTGTTCACTGTGGCTTATGTCTTCACTCCCCAGGAGTTATCCCCTTTTCCATTATCCTCCTCGGCTACATCTCAGGTGGCGCCGGACAACGTGCCCTCCTTGGCACATGAGTTTCTCAGCCTATTTTCTGTGTCCTAAAGTGTGGGACCTAAGAATTCTTACAAGCCTCCAGTCAACTCCATGTGTTCTGTTCAAGATGTTCCTCATCTCTCACTGCATGTAACTTAGACTCTATCAGGCATCCAGCAAAAGCCAGATTCTAACCCATTTTGTCTGCCTCAGACTATCCTACATGTTTCCTGGGAGTACCTCAATTTATTTACAGATAGTAACAATGGTTGAAAGTGAAAAGTGAAAGCAAAACTCGCTCAATTGTGTCCGACTCTTTGCAACCCCATGGACTATACAATCGATGGAATTCTCCAGGCCAGAATACTGGAGTGGGTAGGCTTTCCCTTCTCCAGGGGATCTTCCCAACCTAGTGATCAAAACCAGGTCTCCCTCACTGCAGGTGGATTCTTTACCAGTTGAGCCACAAGGGAAGCCCAAGAATACTGGAATGGGTAGCCTATCCCTTCTCCAGTGGATCTTCCTGACCCAGGAATCGAACCAGGGTCTCCTGCATTGCAGGTGGATTCTTTACCAACTGGGCTATGAAGGAAGTTCAACACAACAATGGTTAATAATGATTTAATTGGTACTAATCCTTTATTTTTATCTTTGACAAAAGCCAGGTTCTAATTGGACTTTGCCTCTCAAAGGTCTTCCCAATTTGGGGCCAACTTTGGTCAACATTCACTTCTAGTGTCCTGCATTTCAACTGCTTCCCCTAAAGCTGCACATATCAATAAGTATGTTATCTGCTTCCCAAAGTATCTCTCCATCCTTCTGGTTTCAAATAAGTTTTCTTGTTCCCTTTGCATAGTATCTAAGCCAATGGCATGTGTTTTTATTTTTTATTACATCAGCACCCCACTCTTGATTCTAATTTCTGTTTCACTCCAGATAGGCTACTTGCTATTATAATACTTCACCCAAATCTCAATGACTTACAATCACACAAGTTTACTTCTCATTCATGCTCCATGTCCCTTGTGAGTTGACATTATCATCACTCGGGCACACAAGATGATTGAGCAACAGCCATTGCAAACATCTCAAGTTTTATGCCAGAGGAGGAAAAAAGATAGCTCTGTACTATTTCATACCCATAATTAAATGCTCTAGCCTTCAGTGACACATGTCATTCACTCACAGACCATTGGCCAGAAATGATTACATGGCACCAGCATTTCCCAACACAGGAAATGAAATTCTGCTATGTCCAGGAAACATTTAGTAAACGGCCATCAGCAATATCTACTACAAGGAGTGTTTTTTTATATGCTATGTTGTGCTAAGTCACTTCAGTCGTGTCTGACTCCTTGTGACCCTAGGGACTGTAGCTTGCCAGGCTCCTCTGTCCATGGGATTCTCCAGGCAAGAATACTGGAGTGGGTTGCCAATCATAAAGTTAATGTTGTTGTTGTTATTCAGTCACAAAGTCGTGTCCAACTCTTTGTGACCCCATGAATTGCAGCACACCAGGCATCCCTGTTCTTCACTATCTCCTGGGGTTTGTTCAAACTCATGTCCATTGAGTTGGTGATGCTATCCAGCCATCTCATTCTCTGTCATCCCCTTCTCCTCCTGCCCNAGCATCAAGGTCTTTTCCAATGAGTCGGCTCCTTGCATCAGGTGGCCAAACTATTGGAGCTTCAGCATCAGTCCTTCTAATGAATATCCAGGGTTGATTTCTTTAGGATTAACTGGTTTGATCTCTTTGCAGTCCAAAGGACTCTCAAGAGTCTTCTCCAACACCACAGTTCAAAAGCATCAATTCTTCGGCGCTCAGATTTCTTTATAGTCCAACTCTCACATCCATAGATGATCACTGGAAAAACCATAGCCTTGACTAGACAGACCTTTGTTGGCAAAGTGATGTATCCACTTTCTAATATGCTGTCTAGGTTTGTCATAGCTTTCCTTCCAAGGAGCAGGGGTCTTTTCATTTCATAAAGTTAATGCCATTCCCCAAATCCTCCCGTCAGATCTCTCCTCAGGTTCTGTTGGCTAGAATTAGGTCTCATGTACAGATCCAAATCTGTCTCTGAGAGGAAAGAAAATTTCTAAGATTGGCTTAAGACCATGAGAATTTGTTCTCCAGGATTAGCAAAGTGTAACCTTTAGAATTTTCCATCACAAAACTGCGCTTGTTATAAAGCTTTCAAGAGATTATTGATGTCAAATTCTTGGAACAGCTGGGTCTGGATTACTTAGATGGTGGTTAATTAGTTGGAATGTGGCCAAGTGGTTTCAGTCCCAGGCTCTGGGATCAGTTTTTCATTTCTTGATTCATCTTTTATTAGAATAATCCATGCTCAGCAACTTCACCTTCTTGTGCCTAGCATATCCATTTATTCCATAAATAGGTATTGCTTACTCATCTTGCACCAGGCACTAAGGATTCAGGCTAAGTCCCTGGCCTCTTGGAGCTTACATTCTAGTGAAGAAGATATTAACTGGGATAAGTTCAGACATGCTGTGTAACAGAAGAATTCTGGGATCTCAGTGGCTTAACACATTTTTTTTTTTTTTTTTTTTTTGCTCACCCTTATATGTCCAGTGTGGGTTGGTAGAGAATTCCACTCCACACAGTTGCTTCAAATACCATGGCCAATGGAGGCTGCACCATCTGCAGCATCATTAGCTGCTATGGAATGGGAAGAGAGGGAAGTGAGTTACACACTGGCCCTTAAACACTTTGACCTGGGAGGGATCTACATTACTTCTGTCTGCAGGCCATGAAAAATGAATCACATAGCTCCACCTAACTGTAGAGGGCCTGAGAAATGTAGGGGACCATGTGGAATATTTGCTGAGCAATATTATCTTTACCTGGGGGAAAAATAGATGGTAACAAGTAAATGACGAACACAACATCAGGTCATGGTAAGTGCTCTGAAGGAAAACAAAGTAGGGAGGACAGAGAGAGACTTTGACGAGCGGAATCGTGTCCTCCCCAATTTGTATTTGGAATCCCTAACCCCAATACCTTAGAATGCGTTTCATTTGGAGATAGAGCCTTTAAAGAGGTAATTATGTTTATTTGTTTAACAACAATCTGTTTATTGATTGGCTGTGCTGGGTCTTGGTTGCTGCACACGGGCTTTCTCTAGTTGCGGTAAGCAGGCTCTCCTCTCCAGTTGCGATGCATGGGCTTCCCCTTATGGTGGCTTCTCTTGTTCAGAGCACAGACACTAGGGTGCCCTGGTTTCAGTAGTGCAGAGAATGGGCTTAGTAGTTGTGGTTCAAGGACTCCAGAGTACAGCCTCAGTAGTGGTGATCACGGGCTGGCTTAGTTGTCCTGGGGCACGTGGAAGGAATCTTCCTGGACCAGAAATCAAACCCACGTTCCCTGCACTGGCAGGTGGATTCTTAACCACTGGACCACCAGAGAAGTCCCCAGGGATTTGATTTCACCAGGGAAGTCCAAGGTAATTAGGTTTAAATGCAGTTGTTAGGGTGGGTCTTAATCCAATATGAGTGGTGTCATTTTAAGAAGGTGGCTTCCCCGGTGGTGCTAGTGGTAAAGAACTTTCCTGCCAAGGCAGGAGAGGAAAGAGACAGAGGTTCAGTCCCTGGGTCTGGAAGATCCCCTGGAGGAGGGCATGGTAATCCACTCCAGTATTTTTGCCTGGAGAATCCCAAAGACAGAGGAGCCTGGTAGGCAACAGTCCATAGGGTCGCAAAGAGTTGGACAGGACTGAAGCAGCTTAGTATGCACACACGCACACACATCTCATAAGAAGAGAAGATTAAGATACAAACAACACAGCCGGAAGGAGGACCATGTGAGGACAGAGTAAGAACGAGGGTGCTGGAGCGGCGAGTGGTGGCTGTGCGGCACTGGAGGGGCAAGGGGCCGAGAGGAGAGAGCTCACGTCCAAGATCACAGAAACCCCAGGAAGACGGTCGGCGCTGAGTAAAGGCATCAGAGGGCAGAGAGACAGAAATCACAATCACAGAAGACTAACCAGTCTGATCACATGGACCACAGCCTTGTCTAACTCAATGAAACTATAAGCCATGCGTGTAGGGCCACCCAACACGGACGGGTCATGGTGGAGAGTTCTGAGAAAATGTGGTTCACTGGAGAAGGGAATGGTAAACCACTTCAGTATCCTTGCCTTGAGAACCCCATGAACAGTATGAAAAGGCAAACAGATAGGACACTGAAAGATGAACTCCCCAGGTCGGTAGGTGCCCAACATGCTACTGGAGATCAGTGGAGAAATAACTCCAAAAAGAATGAAGAGACGGAGCCAAAGGAAAAACAACATCCTGTTGTGAATGTGACTGGTGATGGAAGCAAGGTCTCATGCTATAAAGAGCAATATTGCGTAGGAACCTGGAATGTTACGTCCATGAATCAAGGCAAACTGGAAGTGATCAAACAGGAGATGGCAAGAGTGAACGTCAGCATTTTAGGAATCAGCAAATTAAAATGGACTTGAATGGGTAAATTTAACTCAGATGACCATCATATTTACTACTGTGGGCAAGAATCCCTTAGAAGAAATGGAGTAGTTGTCATAGTCAAAAAAGAGTCTGAAATGCAGCACTTGGGTGCAATCTCAAAAATGACAGAATGATCTCTGTTCGTTTCCAAGGCAAACCATTCAATATCATGGTAATCCAAGTCTATGCCCCAACCAGTGATGCTGAACAAGCTGAAGTTGAATGATTCTATGAAGACCTACAAGACCTTTTAGAAC